ATCCAGCACAATAACAGAGACATCACCGGATAACTTAAGATTAAAAAAAAAATTTACGGATTGAATCCAAATCCGGCCGTTTAAGGGGAAACTTTCCCACAAAAGCAAGTTCAAACGGTTTAGTAAGATGTAGAAATTCATCTTCTGAAAACCATAAAGCAGTCAAACCTCGAATCGTAGAGATACGACAGTCCGGAAAACACTTCGAAGAATCGGCTCCAGATAAAACCTCTTTAAAGAATTTCGAATTCCTACCCTCTAAGAATCCGGGGTCAAGCCTTTTGTTTGCCATGGCCAAACAGATGAACCGGAATCGGAGACGAAGACGTAGCGAAACGGCGGCTAGGGCAAAAAAGCCCTAGCAGACGAAAAGACGGGGGATTCAGTTTCACACTTTGAAGGGATATCATAATATAAATAAAATGTAACTTTTTCAATTTTCTCTTTGAACCAGCAACTACAAGGTCAATACCTCATAGTATAAAAATGAAAGATTAATAATGGTGATGCAAGAAATAAAAAACCATCGAATGTAAAAATTATAGAAATGCAAATTAGCAAATTGAGTTGTAGCGGTTGAACCTTGCAAAGGCTTCACTACAAGAAAATGAGTCAATAGCGACAAAAAAATTAGAGGAAAAAAAAATTGGTCGCTAAAGATATCTTTTAGCGACAAAAAATAAGCGTGGCCTCTAAATAATAAGGAATCTAGATATTAGCCACCAAAAGAAAAATTGAGTGCTAATTTTGTCACTAAAAAAAAATTAACTACATAGAACTGTCTCGGAACCATTCGAACCGGGGGTTAGACCCAAACCGTAAAACTGATTTTATGATAACCGATCAGTTCATCTACGAAATTTTAAACATCGGACGGCTCAAGGAAGCATATATGAAACGAAAGAAATAAAAAAACTACCATTCATTCGACGGGTCATATCAGTTCTCATCTTCTTCCCGATTCACTTACTCGTTCGCGAAGCCAGTTAATCCCTTCCAACCAGGAAGTCTTCGGCATCAGTGGCGATGATGGATCTTCCTCATCTCGGCCTTATAACCTTCCGCCTCTGGCTTCCTTCTCGCAGGCCTTTTCATTCATCAACTCCGAATTCTACACTCCTCCGCCTCCGAGGGAGCAAGCGCCGAGGTGAGACTGTTCTTCGATCTGCTTGTTGTTTGTCTATTTCTCATTCCATTTTTTCATAAACATTTTGCTTGCTTGTATTCGATTCGTGTTTTAGGGATCCGAATCATAAATTTTTTGTTTTTTTTACTATTTAGATATTTGTTTCGACATCGTTTGATTGAGATATCTTTTCTTGATGTTTTTTGCTTCCCCGACTATTTTTCTTAATGGAAATCGACGATCTTTGGGATTTTTTATGCCTGCCATGTGTGTTGTTGGGTGAAATTGCAGCAGAGGTACTAAGGGATTACAACATTGCAATCCTCGAGAAGAAAAAGGCCCCGAACCGTCTGATCGTTGATGAGGCTATTAATGATGATAATTCCGTTGTCTCCTTGAATCCGCTGACGATGGAAAAGCTGCAGATGTTTAGAGGGGATACCATCTTGAAAGTAATTATTTTTCATCTAGTTCTTTTTTTGCATTTTTCTTAAATTTTCTTTGTTATTCTCCGCGTCTTAGGCCTTGTTATACGGTTTTTGTAGTCTCAAGGGTTTATATTTTGATTTTGTTTTCTTGGTTGATGCAGAAGTGTTTACTGCTATTTTAAACTGCATTATTTTAAACAATTTGATTTCTGTGTTTAGTGTTTATTGCTATTGTCATCCATTAGTTCTATTTTGTTTCTAAATAAAATAATGAAAGTCTTTACTATAGTTAAAATGTAAGATTTGTTGTTCAAAATTATTCCTGCATATAATTTTTTTAAACTGCATTAATTTTAATTAAGGTTGATTGTCCTAATCAAGGGATTATTGATTAATTTTATATAAAAATAAAATGTAGGGTGGAGGTATTAGAGAAAAAATCTTTCATGCATTTTATAATTTTTAATAACATTATTATTTATTACGTCATCCGGTTCGACCCCGATTCGACCGGTTTGCTTCTTTCGGTTCGTTGTCTGGTCCGATTTTCAAAACCTTGAAAACTAAACATTAGAAGAACTTGTATACTTAACTCTCACGATCTCATGCAGTCCATTTCGGCATTTCACTACTTGCCCTAGTTTTTGCTCTTTAGCGACTACCTCCAGGCTCCAACCGCTCGACCGTGGCCACGACTCTACATCTCTACTTCGCGCGCGCTGATATGTTCCCTCGAAATTATTCGGCAACCCCGCAAACTCGCCTCTCTGTCGGTTTCTCCCTCAGGTTATATCTATTGCAGATTGCGAAGTCCTACTAGGATTTCTTATTTTCCTTAGCAGTTGGTAAAGTTGTGCCGTGCCTCTCCATGAATCTCATTTCGTCTTGTCTACTGTAGATTCATAAATTTCTTTATGGTTTCTTATTTTCTTGATAGATACGTGCCGACTGCCGACTGATGCTACATCATCTTCTGCAACCAAAGGTAACTTTTCCAACATTAAGAAAAGATGGATTGTTACAGTTGTACTTGTATGCAGTGATGCTCATATTTCGTTTGGTATTGATTGATTGTTTGCGATCTTGATATTTAGCAACGGGTTTGTTTTAATTTAATTTTCAAATAATTGAGATTCTATTCAGTAAGCTATTTGATTCAATTTGTATAATCTGATCCAAGGTTTTGAATCTTTTTTTCTGTCCTATCTTCGAAGATTAAATTTCACTTTAATTTAATTTCTGTTTTTTATTCAGATTAATTTTTTATTTTTATATATTTAAAAATATAAGTATGATAGAAAATACAGGATTATTGAATTGGGATGCAAGTTGTAACACAAATTAAATTTGTTAGGATTCAATAATGGAATTTCAATCGAACTTTGTATGCTAAGAAGCTTCACAAAAGTTTGATTCAAAAATCTGCAGACACTTTTGATTCACTAATTTAATTGATACTCTTTAAGTTAAGCCTCAATGTCATGAAACTTTTAAAAATTTAAAATGTTAATTGGTTTAAGATTGTTTTCAATTGAAATCATTCTAAAACCTCAAAATTACTCGAACTTATCAAAACTTAAAACCATGATCTAATCAAGTCAATTTGATTCAAATTTTTCCATCTTGCTTGAGGTTATGCATCATATGCATGATATGCTTCTCGGATGCATGGACAAACTGTGTCCAAACAACTTTATTGATACTTAAAAATGTTATACTCTGCATGGAACCTATTTTCATTCTAGTACGTTTGTTTGAGCTATCAACTTTTGGAACTTTTCATGTTCTGGTAAAATAATTGCATTAGCTTCAGTGATTTGAGGCCTAAGTTTGATGGTTATTAACTACTATTGTTGTTTTATATGATGTTTCGTGTACATTATGTGGATGTCCAAGTTTATCATCAACATTATTGTTGAGCCATCGGATCCATCTGAGACTGCACAGTATAATTGCGCTAACAGTACTAGGTTATTGTTCATGTAAACAATAACTGTTGTTGCAGTTGTTATCGACAGTGAACGGTAACCTCATGAAGGGTTACTTTGAACTGAAAGCTCTGGAAGTATGTTACTTACACTAATTGCAAAACAATAGAATCTTTCAGTCATGATAGCAATGCTATTTAGTAATATTGAAATTTTATTTGAATAAGCAGGAAATGACAAGAGAACAAGTGGAGAAGTTTGTAAGGCAGGCTGGTGGCGTAAAATCTCTAATTGACTGTTTGCATGGGCTAACAACAATGCTAAAGAAGGATGCTAAACACAGAAAGCAATTGCCTGTCCATTTGAATGCCTTCTCCATAATGTATGATCTTTCTATGTCGTCTAATTTATGTCTTTCTAAGGCTCCTGCCGTCTATGGCATG